TGCCCAGGCCCCCTCCCCCTTGAATTTCAGGCGGGGAGGATGGGGTGCCAGGGGCTTGGAGGGGGGGGGAGTAGTCCAAGTTTTTCAAGCCAATGCCAAAAGCTTAATTTCAAAATCCAAATTTTTCAAGCTTAATTTTTGGAATCCAAATCCAAAAGCTTAATTCCAAAAGCTTAATTTCAAACAGTTAATTCGAAAAGCTTAATTCCAAGATTCAATTTCAAAAAGCTTAATTTTTTGATAAGGCCTTAATAAGGGCTTAAAAAAACTTTAATAAGGGCTTAATAAGGCTTGAATAAGGACTTAATAAGGCCTTAATAAGGGCTCTTAATAAGATCTCAATGAGGCTTCAATAAGGGCTTAATAAGGCTTGAATAAGGAGGGCTTACTAAGGGCTTAATAAGGCCTTAATAAGGGCTTAATAAGGGCTTAATAAGGGCTTAATAAGGGCTTAATAGGCGCTCCAGCCGGAGTGGGATGGGGGGGGTGGGTGGGGCGAGGGGTGGTGGGTGAGGGGCAGGAGGTGCGAAGAGGGGGGGCTGCAGAGAAAGGGTGGGGGTGGTGGGTGGGGGAAGTGCCCACCCGCCTTGAGCCTTCCCCCCCCCGCCTGCCCCCTCACCACAGCCACACCCCAGGCGGGCCGGAACCCCTCCCACAGCCAGGCCCAAAACCGGGCAGGACCTCTGCCCTTTTCAGGCGGGGAGGGTGGGGTGCCAGGGGCCTGGAGGGGGGGGGAGTAGTGTTTCCGGAAACCAGTTTCCGGAATTGTGTTTCCGGAAATCATGTTTCCGGAGTTCTGTTTCCGGAAACCACGTTTCCGGAGTTGTGTTTCCGGAAACCAGTTTCCGGAATTGTGTTTCCGGAAACCACGTTTCCGGAGTTGTGTTTCCGGAAAGCAGTTTCCAGTGTTGTGTTTCCCTAAAGCAGTTGTGTTTCTGGAAACCAAGGCGTTTGTGTTTCCCTGAATTAAGGGTAGGAGGGGTAAGGTGGATAAGGCCTTAATAAGGGCTTAATAAGGCCGTAATAAGGGCTTAATATGGCCTCGGGCTTCGGGGCTCGGGGCTCGGGCGCCCCCACCCCCACCCCCACCCACACCCCCACCCCAACCCCCCACCTCCTCGGCGGCTGGGGCTCGGGGTTGGGGGCACCACCCACCCCACCCACTCCCCCCACCCCACCTCACCCCACGCCACCCGCCCCCACCCCACCCCACCCCCCACCCCACCCCACCCCCCACTCCCCGACCCCGCCACCCCACCCCACCCACCACCCCCCACCCACCCCATTAAGGGCTTAATAAGCCTTAGTAAAAGCTTAATAAAGCCTTAATAAGGGCTTAATAAGGCCTTAATAAGGGCTTAATAAGGCCTTAATAAGGGCTTAATACAGCTTAATAAAGGCTTAATAAAGCCTTAATAAGAAAAGTTTCCGAACCGTTGTTTCCGAGCGGAAGTTTCCGGACCGTTGTTTCCGAGGAAGTTTCCAGACCGTTGTTTCCGAGCGGAAGTTTCCCGACCATTGTTTCCGAGCGGTTGTTTCCAAGCCTCCCCCCCGCCCCCACCCCCACCCCCACCCCCTCCTCGGCTGCGGGCTCGGGGTTGGGGGCACTCAGAGGAGGGGAGGGGAGGGCGGGAAGGGGCTGCAGAGGAAGGGTGGGGTAGGGGGAGTGGGTAGGTGGGGTGAGGGGGGACAGGCGGGGGGGGGGGGAGGCAGAGGGGTGCCTTCTACCATTTCCTGCCCAGGGGCAGGGGGCAAGGGGGCAGCGGGGGGGGGGCAGGCACGGGGGATTCTGTTTCCGGAAACCGTTTCCGGAGTTGTGTTTCCGGAAACCAGTTTCCGGAATTGTGTTTCCGGAAACCACGTTTCCGGAGTTGTGTTTCCGGAAAGCAGTTTTCAGTGTTGGGCTCAATGAAGCTTTAATAAGGGCTTAATAAGGCTTGAATAAGGGCTTAATAAGGGCTTAATAAGGGCTTAATGAAGCCTTAATAAGGGCTTAATAAGGGCTTAATAAGGCCTTAATAAGGGCTTACTAAACCCTTAATAAGAGCTTAATAAGGGCTTACCAGCCGGAGTGGCAGGCGGCGTGGGGTGGGGTGGGGTGGGGTGGGGGGGGTGGGACCCCCCCCCCCCCCCCCCCCCCCCCCCCCCCCCCCCCCCCCCCCCCCCGTATCATGGACACTTGGGGGCTATGCGACAGCAGTCGCTGTACTGTGCTTATTCAAACGCAACAAAAACACGCGTCAAATAGACGCTGAAATTTTCCATGTCTATTGGCTCAGGGCACATGCAACGCAACGGCGCTAAGGCCTGCTCTACGAAATCATGAAATGTGCTGGGGCGCTGGAGCGCTGGGGCGCTGGAGCGCTGGGGCGCTGGAGCGCTGGGGCGCTGGAGCGCTGGGGCGCTGGAGCATTGGGGCGCTGGGGCGCTGGGGCGCTGGGGCGCTGGAGCGGCGTGGAGGGGCGCTGGAGCGGCGTAGGGGCGCTGGGGCGCTGGAGCGCTGGGGCGCTGGAGCGCTGGGGCGCTGGGGCGCTGGAGCGGCGTGGAGGGGCGCTGGGGCGCTGGGGCGCTGGAGCGCTGGGGCGCTGGAGCACTGGGGCGCTGGGGCGCTGGGGCGCTGGGGAGCGCTGAGGCGCTGACTTATATATATATATATATATATATATATATATATACATATACATAGACATAGACATAGACATAGACATAGACATAGACATAGACATAGACACAGACATAGACATAGACATAGACATAGACATAGACATAGACATAGACATAAACATAGACATAGACATAGACATAGACATAGACATAGACATAGACATAGACATATACATATACATATACATATCTCTCTCTCTCTCTCTCCTTCTCTCTGTCTCTTTTTTTCAAGCGTCTCTTTCGTTCTTGCGCGCTCTAGGGTTCTACCATCCCCCAATAAGCAAAGCTTCCACCAACCCTGCTCGCTTCTTACTGTGGTCCTAGTCCCACAATCTCGGTCTTACAGGATCTTCCACCCCATTTGCAGATCCGGGGACGATTCTCATCGTCTCTTATGCTTGCTCCGCAAACTGTCTCAGACGCGGTAGACCATGATTCACCCTCCCAACAATAATAGGCAAAGACATCCTAACATCCCTACTCAATCATCCTGTTTGCCTGCTGTGCTTGGGCCAGAATCTCTCGCCTGTCACGCTTGTCCCGCAATCTCTCTCCTGCGCGCTCTACAAGTCTGGCCCGCCTTGCTTTATCTTCATCTTTCAACCTCCCCTTGGTCGGACAGCTCGCCCCAGAGCATCATATGTCGGTCGACCATGGTCGTCGGCCTTTATATTAATGATTATAACGCTGATGATGATGATGGTAATTAGGAATGATGATGATGATGATGGTGGTGAGGAGGAGGATGAGGATGAAGATTATGATGATGACCAACATGATGATAGGGACGGAATCAAGCGTCACAGATGATAACACACGACGACATAGACATAGACAGCCGCCTTGACTCAACGAGCTTCTCCCATGCAGATAACATGCTACTCACCGCGCATGAACAACATATGTCCCATGCATTGTTTCTCATGCTATCTCATCCACTTGCTCCCTGTATTATCTGATCTCCTTTATACAACCATTTCTGCGACAATCTCTGCTATTACATTGCACACTCTTCTCAGAGCTCATTCGCACCATGCGCCCACAATGCCGTCTGTCTGGGACGACGACGTCGCTGCCTGCACGCGCTCTGCTGGATCTGCATTTGGCCGGCGATGACAATGTAAGGGGCCAAGTTGACTCATTGGAGCTGCTTCGAAGCCCGCTATGTTTGGCACCAGCAAGCTTGGGTCCTGCAAGGCCCTTTCCAATGTCGAGGTATGTCGAGGTAAAGCGTGCCATCCACGCTTTAAGCTCACTGGACAGTTCTTCATCGGTACATCCACGTATGCCTGCATTGCAAGCGGTTACGTTTCACCGAATTCTGGCATTCCGCTCTCAACAATTTAATAACTTACATCTGATTGAGACTACGCTGCCGTCTGCGTGCTGCTACCTGGGACTGCGTGCGTCTTTCTTTCCATGTTCCATATGGCTACATGTGCGAGCAGCCCGCAGGACCTGCTCGTGCCGTCTCCGCCTCCAACAACCGCTCCAAATCTTCCACCAGTTCCTGAGTGCTGCCTGCATCGGCAGGCGTGCACGACACAAGCGAACAAAAGCAGCGGAGCACCTATCTTGCACGACAGAAGCAGCCCCGCCTCTCCATGCAGGAGCACGATCCATGCACCAAGTTGAATTCTCAAACGTGCAACGAGAGAGAGAGAGAGAGATGGAATGAGATCATTAAATAAAGGTTTTGTCTCAGACTGCTATACGAAGAAATCAGCAATGCCGCAGGAATGAACTTTACCCTGCTTGTGACGTCCGCTGTCTGCGTCCAGAAGATGAGTCGAATCATTGACTCTGATATGAGTCACAACGCATACCTACGTAATGCTGGCAGCGAGGACGGCCGAAGCGATTGGAACAGTGTACATGTTGCCACCATAATCCACAACGTCACTACACTCTGTGTCATCGTCGTTGTCGTCGTCGTGGTTCTCCTCATTATTTTAAATCTTCAGTAATATCCTGATCATCGTCATGATCGTCTTCTTCTTCTTCATCATCATCATCATAAGCAGCAGGAGCAGCGTCATTATGTTCATCATCGTCATCATCGTCAGCAGCATCCGCAGCAGCACCACCACCATCATCGTCATCAACAACAACATCAACATCGTCAGCACCATCACAATCATCATCATCAACATCATCATCATCAATCATCATCATCATCATCGTCTTCAGCTGTGAACTTGGTAGCCCGGTCCTGCCCCTAACGAACCCCAAGGACCCTAAAAGACCCTAAAAGCAAGTGCCAAGCCCCCGGCCTGGAATGTCTGAAGAACGGCTCCGCCGTCTGAAATCTGAACCTGAATCGGAAACCCCGTCTCCTAGATTGTAGCCCCTTCCGCGGAACCCTGTTCCTTTTGACAGCTCAAGCGAACCTCTGCCCTCCCTCCTCTGTCGCTGTTGAGCCGGATGTCGGCCAGAATCTTCGACTGATGCACCTGTGGTTTTGCTGTTGGTTTAACACTCACTAAAAAGGTATTTTGAAATCTTTCTTCGAAGATTCGAGACTATGCGGATTTGTCCGACGAAAGCCACTGAAGCGACTGTCTCTTCCCTGCTCTGTCAGCTAAATTGCGTTGTTCGTCATACAGAGCATATACCCCAGAACCAAGGACCCTACGGAGCTCAGAACTATCCATAACCTTGGTAAGACAGTCCGCCAGCATGGCCTTGGAGTGGACCCACCGCATTTTGCAGTTTTCTTGTAACCGTTCACGAAGAAGCAGACACTCGAGTTGAGTACGTAGCTCGACACAGTTCGGAACAGCCGTCTTAGTAGCTACGTCGTAAGCACTCTTGCAGTCCGTCACAAGCGAGGCTTTGGGAGCTTCTTTCAAAACTTCTTCAGGGTGGGAAATATCAATTCCCGGGTTCTTAATCCATTCCCAAAACAGCCTCAACCATGACATTCTGTCAAGCGAGCCGCACAGCGCGACCACTTCAGCACTCAAAGTGCTGCGCACAACTCGGGAGATCTTCTTGCTTGCCCACGCTACTGGAACAATCACGGCCCTCTGATTCTGAAGCATACGCCAATCCGTGGCGATGACCAAAGTGCCCTGATACGAATGGTTATCCTTGGACGAAGCAAAAGAAGCATCGGAAAATGTGCAGAAGGTAAGGTGTTTCTCAGGAATCGGTACCACCATCAGGGACACAGCGTGTGACTTTGCCTCGTGAAGCACCTTATTGGCCTCCAACAAATGCTTCACCCTACCCTTAGTGACCATAGATTGGAGGAACCCCACTTTAGCCGCTATATCCGGTCTGGTGTGTACCGCTGCATATTGCAGGCTTCCATTAAGGCGACGCAACTCATGGACTTCTGAAGCATTGAGAGGATCCTCAGGTCGAAGCCTACGGTCCCTAGGAACATGAATAGGCATAATCTTTTCGAGATAAGCTGTTTGATCCATCTCAATACTTCCGTCGTCCCACTGTCGAAAACGAATCCCGGTGAACACGAACTCTCCTTCGTCGTAGGACCCAAAGCTATAAATGCCCCGCAACTGCTCAATGACCCTGCTGAAATATGCATCACCCCCGCCTATACCATCATCAACGTGGATCCCTAGAACACCGTGTACCCTAGGCTCCCCACCAGGTCCTTTAGTGACAAGACTGAACGTGCAAGGATCAAAAGGGCTCTGGATGAATCCCAGCTCTTCCAACGTTTGCTTGAGAGTCTGGAACCACAAGAAAGGAGCATCAATCCTTCCGTACGCTCCGCCTTCAAGGCGGCACTGGTCAGTGGGACCCATACCTAAAGCCTCTCGGAGTTCTTCGGGAGGTTTGATGCCCAACTTCCTGCCGTCCCCTTTGCCCTGCAAGAAAGCTGTGGAGATATCGAAATTGATGAGCTTCCACTGTCGAGAAGCCACTTGTTGCAAGATCAACTGGCGACCATCTTTCCCTAACGTTGGTGCGTCATTGGGTATATCAGACAACCCGGGGTCCTCGAAACCTAAAACCACCAACCTAGCCTTGGCCCTATGCGGTCCACCCTCCTTCTCAGGAGCCTTCCAGGTGAGGATCCACCTACATCTCATCAGCTGAGAGTCCTCAAGCGTTCCAGCTGCAACCCGACGCACCGTCCGATGATCGAGCCAGGCTTTGATTTCTTTGTTTTGGGCTTCTTTGAACAGTTGGCGCTCATGTTGATTGAGATCCCTAAGCCTAACCTCTGTGCGCTTTTTCCTTTCGGTGCTGGCTAACATCACAAAGTTTAGGGCCTGCTCGGGTGACGGGAGATCCTTGTAGTCTACGTCTGTTTCGTGAAGCCCAATCTCCCACACTTGCTCCGAACTTGGATGGATCAAGAAACATTCAGAGTCCCCGAAGAGAAGGTCATCTTCGTCCTCTGGTACAGGAACCTCTACAGGATCTACCTCCATCGGCTCTTCATGTTCTTGCTCCATCGAGACGGCAGGTGAGACTTCGGTTTCAGGCTGCTCAGCCCCTACCGCCGAAGGCGGGGTCTCACCACTGTCTACAGGAATCTCAAAACCTCCACCGGTGTCTATTTCACCTACCCCTCCTTCTACTTCACCTACAGCAGGCGGCGAGGCCCCGGCTACCGGCGGTGGCTCCGAAGCGGGCGCAACACCCTCCATCTCTACATCTTCTCTAGTGGGCAAATCGCCCTCACGAAGCAGATCTACTACACCCCTACTAGGTAGCCTATCGGGGGAGTTGTGGAGGGAACCCTGACTGTGTTGTTGCAAGACTTCCCACTCGCGAAGCGATGCCGACCTTAAGTGCTCGGGCGATGCTCGAACCAACTGGCCGCAATGCGATAGCCAAACGACCCGCTCATCACCTACGATTACCTGTGCGGGACCATGCCAGCGGCCACGTTCGCCCCGAGAGCGACTGCCTACTCGCTGCTGTCGCCAGTAGAGAACCCAACTGCCAGCAGCGAAAGTCGGAAGGTTGGCCCGTGTTTTTCGCAACAGAGCCCGGCGATACGCAGTATCATTGTCTACCCGTACAAAAGCAACCCTAGCCTGTTCCCGACGCAGAAGGCTCTGTCGAAAGGCAAGACCCTCGGGAAGTGAGCTGGTGGCCAGCGCATGGCTAGCCGTCAACTCATCTGAGACAAGGCTGGCTGGAAGTCTGGACGACTTGCCAAAAACTGCTTGCTCCGGTGTGAAACCCCGCACTCGACTAAGAGAATTCTTTGCATGGACTGCGACTCTAAGACACTGCCTAAACTCTGCATCATCTGTGATTGGGGTCTCGGCATCCATACGGGACAACATCGCCTTCAGAATTTTCCCGTGAGCCTCCACTCTACCAACCTGCCAATGGCTCTCACCAGCAGCTACTTTAGCGCAAACACCGTCACGCTGCAGCCTCTCTCGCCACCACTCTCCTACATACTCACCTGCAGGATCTACGTAGAGGAGTTGACATGGTCCAGCCCATTTGTTCCAGCTGTCGGTGAGAACTTCGTACTGGTCTTCCATGGTCCTACCGGTGGCCGTAGCTTGATGAAACAACGTTGCCTCATCGAGGATGTGTGTGAACATGTACTTATGTCCACTTTGCCCACTCCAATATGCTACATCCATGCCCAGTACATCCCCGAAATCGGCATCAAGGTGAATCGCTGCAGGCCTCGCAGGCTTGGGACCAGACACGGACTCTAGACACGTACTACAGGACAAATCTTTGGCTCCCTGAATAATGCGAGGATCCGCCTTCCGCTCTGTCAAAAACTTAACCATAGTGCCTGTGTCTGGGTGTCCCAGGTTTTGGTGGAGCCTCCCTAATTCCCTCTTCTCCTGCTCACTTAGTCTTAAGTACCCCGGCCCATGCCTAGGTATCATGACTGGAGGATGCCCTTGTAGAAGTTCCGAAGGAATGGGAGGAGAACTTACACCCCTTGAAGACACTGGTGGACTGGCGCTGTGACACGGACGACCCTCGGCTGCTGCTCCCGGCTCAAAAGACTCCATGTTCTGTTCACTGGGGGGTATATCGGACGCTACATGGGGACGCATCTCGGATGCTAGTTGGGGGCGCTCGGGTGCTGATTGGGGCCGCTGACCGAGAAATTCTGAGCCGTAAGCCGTCAGACTGACTCTCGCAGGTATTCCCCGACGCCAACGTTTGTACTTAGGATTCTTTGTCCACTGCTCGCAACCACCATCTGCCATCACCTTACCATTGTCCCTAGAAACCACTATGGTTTGGCGAAGGGGAATATCCTGTATCTCGAGACCAGGTTTTGGCAGCTGAACACGGTTGGTGCCACGAGCCATCACCACGTGCTTGATTTGAAATTGCGGGATCAGTGTTTGAACCTGTTTTACAACCTCATCCCCATCCCTGAAGTACACCCTGCCACGGTGAGGAACATCAAACTTCTTAAAGATAGCTATCCACGAGGCATCCTTGAACTGATCCCGAGCCTTGCACATTTCCGGTGCCGGTTGCTTCCGAAGAAGCCGTCGGCGCTTCACAACTTGCTGAACATTTTCAAGCGCGGCACGATTACTCAAGTTGAGGTCCCCTTCACGCTTAAGGTCTGCTACTAGTAACTCAGACAGGTACAAAGGAACACTACGGTCAGAGATCATTGCTGCTGCTGCTTGCTCAGCCAGTCGGAGCTGCCATGTCGGGCTTCGTGGTGCAGACGTGTTGCTTGTTGCTTGGCTGGGGTTGGAAAGGTGAGTCGGCTCCTTACGTGTGTCGATTGCCTCATGTACCACTCTGGAAGTCGTATAGATAAAGCTTTTCTTGTTCAGAAAATTGTTGCCGCGCATCTTTCCCAATCCCATCGCCTCCGAAGGACAGTGAACTGCGCACATGGTGCCGTGCATCACGTCCTGCAGTTCCGGAGAGGACTCTGCAAAGATATTTTGACCAGTGCACAGATGAAAATGGCGCCCGTGTTCAATTTGATGCTCATACAGGTCGTACAATAGCTCTTTTGGCCAAAATACCTTTGAAGGATCCTGTCTCCCGCCATTCATCCAGAGGTGCTTGGGCTCGTACATATGTATCATGAACCAAATGCGACTGGCATCCCATGTTTTAATGGATACTGCACGGCCCTGGCGATTCCGAATGGCATTGCTGATTCCACTGTCCGCCAGAGTGATTTCCAGGACATCAAGCCGAGGAAGCTTGTAGTGCATCTTTTTCCGGAAGTCTTCAGTCTCACTATCAAGTTTCCCGAGCTTGTCTTCTATCTGTAAGATGCACGCATCAATCTTCTGACAAGTGGCTAAGGATTGCACGACATGATTGTCCTGTGATGCATTCACTCCTTCTCGTCCCAAGACGGATCCAACTGCTCCAGTTGCGCAAGCTCCCTTTGCAGTAGCGCCTTCCTGGTCATGATGTCGAGGCGCTGCTCCGCGGTGAGGTCGGTGTTCATCGCGGGGTTGGGATCCTGGGCATTCGCCCTCTTGCCTTTGTGATTCTCGGCCGTCGATGCTGAGCTTCCGGTCGCTCTGCCTTCGTTGAGGCACAGCTTCCATTCCCCGAACTCCTCCTCGTCCTTGAAGGTCGCGGTGTTCCGGCTCCGATTTGGGAACGCCGCCTCCTCGTCCTCTAAGGTCGCGGTGTTCTGGCTCCGATTTGGGAACGCCGCTTTCCGGGTGCCCTTCCCTTGGCGCTTCTGGTCCTCCATCTGCTCCGCCCGAGCTGCTGCCTTCAGACGGGCAAGGCAATAATTCTTGAATGAGATGGCCCAGCTGCTGGTGAGGGATTGCTTGCGCGCCATGGTCACCGCATACACCAAGTCCTCGTCGAACGCCGCTGCGAAGGTCTTGGTCTTGTGCTTCCCCGCAGTCAAGGTCATGTCGCCCCACGCGCGGAGTGTCTCCACACCCTTTGGGCGCACAAACTCCACATCGAGATAGCTACCAACGGCTCGTCCACATCTGGGGTCGCCATCTTGCCCTGAAGCTTCAAAGCATCCTTGCGGGAGATCGGCATGACGATGATCCACCGAGGACAAAGGTTTGGAGGCTGATGCGGTTCCGAGCTGAGCTGATTGCGGCTGTGATGGAGGCAGGGCTGTCAGGTCTGCTGGGTGGGTGCATGCTCGGTTTGGTTGCTCCTCAGCTTGGAAGCATGCTGCTGTTGTAGTGCGTAATAAAGCAGAGAGATCAACAACAGACAGACCCCGGCTATCAAAACGCATAGGAACCCTTTTACCCGGTAACTGAAGGAACCCTTTTCTAACATGAATCACCGCATCAAGCTCGCGAAGCAACTGTTTAGAGATAAGCAATGGCGTGTTTCCTGGGATCACCTCAACTCGAATCCAGGACGACTCCGAGATTGGCAGAAGCAGAGCGTGTTTTGACTGAAGCGTGCCGCTGTTGCCGAATCTAAAGACAATGTCCGACGATGTCTTCCGGACACCGTTCCGGCACTCAGCGTCAAGCCCCCCGAGGATATCGCGTACCCGCTGGCTACCGACTACCGTGCGACTAGCCCCAGTATCCAAAACTCCCTCAGCCCCTGAAGTAACCACCAATGCTACCTCATCACCATCGTCATCCTGGGGCTTGCTGCTTCTCAAAACTTCGGGGCCTGCCTCTTTGGTCAAAATTTGCGGAGTGAGTCTCTGCCTGGATGTTGCCGCGGTGCATCGTCTATGTTTCCTGGCAAGCATTAACAACTTTCGTGCAAGTTCCTCTTTCCATGTCTGGCTACAATCCCCTTTAGGCACAGCAGCCATTAGACAAGGAGAGTATAAAGTATGAATTCGCTCGACTCCCCCAAGCCCTGGCACACCGATCTGTCTGGCTTCCTGGCTGTCCTCTTCTCCAATGTAGGGCTCGGACTCCGGTGGCATGGCATGGAGAATCTCTGGGAGGTTCTGGGCAAAGGTGTCCGAGGTCTCTTGGGTAAAGTGGGTTACCTCCACCTTGGCTTCATTGCCATCCTGGGCCAATCGGCGGGGACATTCCCGCTTCCAATGTCCTTTCTGATGGCAAATGCGGCACGTGGAATTGGCGATACGGTCCGCGAGAGACCGATTGCGGCCAGTGCCCCACCCCGGAAACGAAGACGACGAAGATCCTTTTCCTTTCTTCCCGAATCCCTTCGTCTTTCCACGGCCTTTGGCAGGCCAATATCCACGAGCTTTGGCTTTATCGCGGAGCCGCTGCCGAGCCTCCTGGTATGTTACATACACTGGCGCCAATTCGCTATCTTGGATGGCGTCCACGATGCTCTCCTCGAACTCGGTGATGTAGACGGCGTCCTCGTCGTTGAGGTCCATGAAGTAGCAGAGGAGGTCCTCGTCACTCGGCTCCTCCTCGGGCACGGCGCTGTAGTACACATCCTCGGCTCCGTTTTCCTCCGTGTAGTGCACGTCGTAGATCTTGTTCCGTTCCAAGCCTCGGTTTCCTGTGGCATTCTTGTTCTGAAGGTCCCCAAAAATTTTGGAACCCAACAATCTGATCGCCTTGACTGTCTCCTTGTACTTGAGGTCACCCTTGGACTCAATGACAACTCGCTTCTTGTCCTCCGGGGCAAGTTGGCTGTGGCGAAGTAACACGTAGGCTCTGATCTCCTCGATGGTCACCTTGCGCGTAAGAAGTTCTTCAAAGTAGGCGTCACTGCGAGCTAAGTAGGAATCATTGGTTTCGTCATTCTTCTGTGTCACCTGAAAAATGGCTTGCTCGAAGAAATGGAACTTTTCCTCAACAGCAGTTTTCCCCCAAGCTCCGCCGAGAGCCTCCACGATAAGCTGGACGCCCTCTTGACTCCGAAGCTTATCCGGAGCAATCCGGCTGATTTTCTGAAAAGCCGAACCCTCCACTTGGAGAGCCGCTCTCGGCCCCAGGTGCTGGATGCTATCGGCTGGCCACAACTCTTTGAGAAACTTCAAGCGCTGCGTGTAATCATCAAGGTTCGTAGTGCCCGGCACAAATTTCGGGATTTGTTGCCAAGGAAGATGGCTGACTCCTGCTGCCGAGCCGGCTGCAGTCGAACCTCCATCCCCTTCAACGGCCATGGCAACTGCTACGGGCTACCTACCTATTGGTTTCCCCTGTTTCCGTTACCTAGTTCCCCCTAGATAACGGCAGGCCGGGCTCCGCTACCAATGTGAACTTGGTAGCCCGGTCCTGCCCCTAACGAACCCCAAGGACCCTAAAAGACCCTAAAAGCAAGTGCCAAGCCCCCGGCCTGGAATGTCTGAAGAACGGCTCCGCCGTCTGAAATCTGAACCTGAATCGGAAACCCCGTCTCCTAGACTGTAGCCCCTTCCGCGGAACCCTGTTCCTTTTGACAGCTCAAGCGAACCTCTGCCCTCCCTCCTCTGTCGCTGTTGAGCCGGATGTCGGCCAGAATCTTCGACTGATGCACCTGTGGTTTTGCTGTTGGTTTAACATTCAGCGTCATCATCATCGTCATCATCATCATCATGACCATCATCATGACCATCATCATCATCAGCATCACCGTCATCAGCATCCTTGTCAAGTCATCACGAACAGACATAGCATCATCATTTTCATGTTCTATTTGAGGTGTTGCTATGCCTGACAATCAATCGTCCTAGAGTAGCTTTTGCCTAGTAAAAGCACAAGGGCGTCAAATAGACGCAAAGCGTCCAAGGCACGTGGGGGGGCCTCCCCGCGCCCCCACCCCCACCCCCCCACACCCCCACCCCCACCCCCCACCTCCTCGGCTGGGGGCACCTACCCCACCCACACCACCCCACCCCACCACCCCACCACCCACACAGGAGGGAAGGGGGAAGGGGACACCCCCCCACCCCACCCCACACCCACCCCACCCCCACCCACCCCACCACCCCACCCCCACCCCACCCACCCCACCGGGGACAGGTAAGGGCTGGGGGGCGGGGGGGTGTTTGGAGCATATTTGCAGTGAATGGGTGCTGAGAATCGCTATGTAGTGAAACTAGACTAGGACTTAGTGGAAAACAAGTGTAACTCTTATAAAACATTCACATTCCGGAATGATGCGCTGGGGAGCTCCTATAGATGGTCCGTGCGAGCCTCAGAAGTCCGATGCAGTGAACATGCCTCGCAACGGTCCAATGAACCAAGTACAAGCGCAAGACGAGTGCGAGAAAAGCACGTGCCCAAGTCGTCACACGGCCTCGCGCCTGCACTAAGATCATCTGGATGATAAGGACCGTAGAACCACAACTTTTGCTGGACATCCATTATCCGGGAGGTTCAGTATGGTGTTTCCAGGCTGGGATGCACCTTCACAGTGCCCGTGTATCATCCTAGCAATGCAGATACGCGTGTCAAACTTGCTTGCCAAGCGATCTGCTCGAGGAGTACCTGCTAAAGGCAACACGTCCGCCCGCATTAGCAGCGGACGCTGTCGTACCAGCAGCGGACGCAATGGCTTTCGACCAGCACGGCCGGGTTGTGAGTCTGCGACTCAGTGCGTGTTGTGTTTCCCTAAAGCAGTTGTGTTTCTGGAAACCAAGGCGTTTGTGTTTCCCTGAATTAAGGGTAGGAGGGGTAAGGTGGATAAGGCCTTAATAAGGGCTTAATAAGGCCTTAATAAGGGCTTGATAAGGCCGTCATCAGGGCTTAATATGGCCGTAATAAGGGCTTAATAAAGGCGCTCCAGCCGGAGTGGCAGGCGGCGTGGGGTGGGGTGGGGTGGGGTGGGGGGGTGGGACCCCCACCCCCCACACCCCCACCCCCACCCCCCACCTCCTCGGCTGGGGGCACCTACCCCACCCACCCCACCCCACCCACCCCCCCACCCCACCCCACCACCCCACCCCCCCACCCCACCCCACACCCACCCCACCCCCACCCACCCCACCACCCCCACCCACCCCACCCACCCCACCGGGGACAGGTAAGGGCTGGGGGGCGGGGGGGTGTTTGGAGCATATTTGCAGTGAATGGGTGCTGAGAATCGCTATGTAGTGAAACTAGACTAGGACTTAGTGGAAAACAAGTGTAACTCTTATAAAACATTCACATTCCGGAATGATGCGCTGGGGAGCTCCTATAGATGGTCCGTGCGAGCCTCAGAAGTCCGATGCAGTGAACATGCCTCGCAACGGTCCAATGAACCAAGTACAAGCGCAAGACGAGTGCGAGAAAAGCACGTGCCCAAGTCGTCACACGGCCTCGCGCCTGCACTAAGATCATCTGGATGATAAGGACCGTAGAACCACAACTTTTGCTGGACATCCATTATCCGGGAGGTTCAGTATGGTGTTTCCAGGCTGGGATGCACCTTCACAGTGCCCGTGTATCATCCTAGCAATGCAGATACGCGTGTCAAACTTGCTTGCCAAGCGATCTGCTCGAGGAGTACCTGCTAAAGGCAACACGTCCGCCCGCATTAGCAGCGGACGCTGTCGTACCAGCAGCGGACGCAATGGCTTTCGACCAGCACGGCCGGGTTGTGAGTCTGCGACTCAGTGCACCGCAGAGAGACGAGGCGCAGTGGTTCGTGAGTTAAAACCGAATACACGACAGGTGCACAAAGTCAAGCTTACGAGCATGCGAGTCCGGACAAGATCGTGCTCGTCGTGGCAGTCTTAGTTTTCGATCGCATTGTCACGCCTCGGGAGGAACGGTCGAGCGACATTGACTGCAGGTCGATGGACAATAGCCGGAAGCGTGATTGAAGATAGTCATCATTGCCTCAGCATGCAAAAACACCGAGGAAGCGCACAGCCGAAACATAATTATGTTTGACGACCAAGGTCGGTTTCTTGATATGAAACATCTGATTCGGGGAACTTGCCGGCGAGACTTTCTGAAAACCGAGTCGAAAAATGAAAGAGCACGGTGTGGTGCTTGGCGATGTTTGCAGCCACGTAGAGCCTCGAGAGCGTTAAGATGCATGTCGGCGGTGTTCGAAACTGTGTAGGGTTCAAAGTTAAAGCTGGAGTTTCACGCAACCCAGACTCCAAAGCCATCTGCCACTCCAGTCAAGCACATCCCACCGCTGGCGTGGAAGCCACATTGCCAGCTGAACTAGCGTCGTCAGTCTGAATAGGATTGCCGAACATGCATGCAACACATTGGATTGCGCCTGTGCATTGAAGCGTCCATGGAGGCAAGCCGCTACAGTCCTTGGGTTCCAAAGCACACTTCCCCCCGCCCCACCAACCCTTCCACCCCCCAGAGGGACGAAGGGAGGGGACAGGGGGACTTCTAGATCGAAGGGGGGACGAGAGGGAGGAAACACAGCGACATCATTAAGAGAGCCTTGGAAAAGGATCCAAAGATGCCCAAGCAATCAGTGCCAGCCTTTGCAAAAATCATCCCTGAGCGGGGTTCACCCGCTCGTGTATAGTATTCGACCGAAATCAAAACGAAGCTGGAGGCTGGAATGAAGCCGGAAGACCCGCTTACTCGGCTGGTTCGCTTATGCCTGGGGTGCCAAGTGCTCATCCTCAACCTGAACGAGGCCGGGAGCTGGAATGAGGCCGGAAGGGTCACTGACCCGCTTATCCTCAACGTCTGGGATGCCAGATGCTTGTCCTCAGCCGGAACGAGGCCGGAACCGCTTGCCCGGCTTACTCTCAACCTGTGTGGGGTGCCAGGTGTCGTCCCCAACCCGAAAACCCGGCTGGTTCGCTTCTCCTGAACCTGTTTGGGGTACCAGGTGCTTATCCTCAACCTGAACGAAGCAGGGAGCTCAAATGAGGCCGGAAGGGTCACTGACCCGACATATCCTGTATGGGGTGCCACGTGCTTATCCTCATTCTCAACCTAAACGAAGCAGGGAGCTGCAGCGAGGCCAGAGGGAGCGCTTACCGGCTGGTGCGCTCATCCTCAACGTGTTTGGGATGCTAGGTGCTTATCCGAACGAAGCGAGGAGCTGGAATGAGGCTGGAAGGCCCGCTTACCCGGCTAGTACGCTTCTCGTCAACCTGTATGCGGTGCCAGGTGCTTATTATCATCAGCGTGAGCGAAGCCAAGAGCTGGATTGAGGCCAGAAGGGCCGCTTAATTGCCCAGCTGGTTCGCTTCTCCTGAACCTGTATGGGGTGCCAGGCGATTACCTTCAACCTGAACGAGGCGGGGAGCTGGAAGTACCGCTGCAGTGTGTGCGCGGAAAACAAAGCCCGCGTGCAGAGAATCTACCAAATGCCCCGTGGAATTAAGTGCAAAATCATCCCATGCAGAAACCTGGACAATTGTTGATATCTGGAAAGGCAGAAGAAAACAAACTAGTTTACAAAAGCTGCGATTCAACTGTGTAATGTCTGGCTTGAAGACTCGACAGCAACAGCACTCAGCCTTCTTTAGCAGATCTGTTATAGTTGCCACGCTAATTTCGGCCTTCTTTAGCAGATCCATTATAGCTGGCACGCTGGGTTCGGTACGATGCGCCTCCAGGCCTGGCAGGATAGGTCTGATAAGTTCGTTTACCTCAATATTTTGCAATTCATGCTAAAAGATTGAGAACTTAGATTATCTGTTTTCTACAGTTATAGATAATATGTTATATCAAGTTGAAAAGGACGCGACAGCCGACTTGCGAAGTCCCGAGCTGAGATGCATGTGCACCGACTTTCGAGAAATATGGAATGCGTTCTCGAGCAAATGCTTCTCAGATCTTCTCTACACCGTTTAGGACTCTGCAGAAGCTCGCTGGCGCAAACTCCGAGAGATCAAGGATAAGCTGCATGCAGAGGCCTCAGACGCTCCGGAAGTCCATATGTACACTTCCTACGAGCCTCGCTGCAAGGGTATCGGGTAGATCCAGAAGGTCGTGGACGTTCCCACGGACCAACAGGGCTTCTGGACATTGCTTTGGCTCGCGTCGGTAACCGCACTGGGTCTGGTCACTTGACCTGCAAAATGGATGCTGGGCCCACGGACATGTCTCCATCATTCTTGAGGCTTTGGTTGATCCGCAAGCCGGCAAGAGCTGCAAACGGCGAATGTGCAGCTTGCCAGGCAAAGAAATCGAGGACAAGGCGCCTAAGCTCCTGCTCCCACGTCTGGGCTTGGGAGGATGACCTTCTGGACGAGGCAGGAACACGCGTTGACAGATAACTCCTGCACACCAACTTTTGGCCAAGTGTGCCTGCCAGGTCTGAGCAGCCGCCGCAGTGCGTGCGCGGCAGGGATGCCAAAACAAAAGAGTCCTGGGCGCTTGGCGTCGAAGCTCCAAATGAATCCACGCAAAATCCTGGAAGCTTGCCTCAACAAGTCTTTATGTTCGACTTTATCTAGGCTCAAAAGATCATTTGCATCCGCAACCCTCGATTTTCGTTGCTTAAGGCGCGTGAGGATCCTTGCAGCCCACATGACAAGGGCCTTGTTGCCGCTACGCTCCGCAGGATGGACCAAAGCGCAGCAGCTTGTGTGCAGCCAGCCTCTCAGAACTGCTCAGCCACAGCCGAATTGTAGACTTGTCTCAACGATGCCAGGCGGAACTATGCAGCCGAGAAAGCATGGCGCAACACGCTAACAAGAAAGCAGTCGCTGCCTCGTTTCAAGTTACCACCATCACCACAACGTGCTCCCATGTCAGGTTGAAGAAGTGGACATCGGCGACAGCCGACGAGCGAAGTCCCGAGCTGAGATGCATGAGCATTGACTTTGGAGAAATATCGAATGCGCACTTCAACAAATGCCGGTCAGATCGTCTTTACGCCGTTTGGGACTTCGCAGAAGCCCGCTGGCGCAAAATCCGAGAGATCAAGGACAAGCTGCGTGCAGAGGTCTCAGACGCTCCGGAGGTCCACATGTACACTCGATGCGGGCCTCGCTGCAAGGGCATCGGAAGGATCCAGAAGGCCGTGGACGTTCTCAAGGCGAATGGATGGGTCTGCATGGATCTCAGTTACGTAAAAGTGAAGCGATCACCCGGACGTGCAGCTAGCTAGGCGAAGAAGTCGACGACAAACCCGACCCGTCCTGCTACTGGTGGCGTCTGAGCTCCTGCTCCCACGCCTGGGCTTGGGAGGACGACCTTCTGGACGAGGCCGGGGAAAACACGTGGCCAGCCAACTCCAGCACACCAACGTTAGGCCAGGCCAAGTCTGCCTGCCAGGTCTGAGCTGCCGCCGCAGTGCGTGCGCGGCAGAAACGCCAAAACAAGAAGAGTCCGGAGCACTTGTTGGTCCGTGATCCGGCTGCAGCTGCTTATCTTCGACATATATGGAGACCCCGGTGTTTATCTAGGCTCAAAAGGTTGTTTGACAAGCCATCCGCAACCCGCGCATTTCCTTGCTTAAAGCGCGTGATAATCTCATGGATGAAGCAACGTGTGCACATGACTCGTGCTGCCCGGTGTGCTCGAGGTGAGTTGCAGCAAAGGTTCTGAGAATAGCAGCGAAAAGACTGAAGGTGCAAGCAGGGATTCCGGTTTTGAAATACACAAAGAGCAGAAGTTCGAACAGTAGAACGGGAAGTAGTCGCTAGCGTAGTTTTGACAGCCATGGACACGTGTGCAAAGGCTTCGATTCCCAGGCAGGCCTGACGTGCTTCGTATGCCTTTTCACAGGAATGAATAATTGAATGAAAGTAGTGCGGCAGGCCAGCAGCGGATGCAACGGACATGATGGAGCTCTTCTTATCCGATGCTAGGCTGGCTACCCGTCATGTGGTCGTTTATGTTTGCTTGGACTCTACATCGCTTTCAGGCTGGTGGAGTGGCGAGGTGGGAAGGAAGGGACTTAATTATGGGAAACAAAGTCTGTGTGCCGGTTTCGGAGGCGCAGGTCCCATCGGCAAGTGCCCGTCACTGAGCCTCGTTGCTTAGCAGCATGCATGCTCCCCCGATCGTTCAAAACGTGAGCACAGGCGGGCTCTTGGCGAATTGGCGAGTCGAAGGCCTGTGGTGGAACCTTTGCTTCAAGGTGAAGGCACGCTTGAGGAAGGTTCAACACCAGGATTCTCTTGAGTGGCAGACACAAGAGTATGTCAGGACAAAAGAGATCTCCACGGTCACCAATTTCTCGAGCTGCTGAGACAGGCATCGGATGTTGCCTGCGTCGGAGAAATGGGATGGCTTGCTTGGCAGGTGCGTGAATTGCCTTTGAAACGGCAAATTCTCAAGAAGAACGGATGGAACTGTGGGAGCCTCATGATACTCGGAAGGATGTCTGCGTGGGTGCTTGTGTAGGCGTGTGGGTTGTCTATCTGGGTGTCGATGTTTTCTTAGGCTTCCGCGATCCCGAGACCAAGCGAGATTGGTGGTATGAGGAAGCTACCCAACACGCGATCTGGGACAGGGACTGGCCCTATCGCGTTAAACTTCGCTTTCTTCAAGGCTTCTGTCTGCACTTGGCAGGATCTATGAGGATCTGGCAGCGTCTCCGGAGACGATTAGTGCACCCGGTACCGTCGCAAAAAAAAGGTGCTATGCTCTTGCTCTTGATTTCATTCTGTCTGTGTAAGAGATAGTAGACGCCTGTCGTGTGGGCATTGACATGGCAAGCGTCGTTTAAGACAACCACATGCCCTAATGCAACTTGTGCTTCTGTTGACATAAAGCATGCCTGCAGATGGCTTCAACTACTCGCAGCACACTGTATGATCCGGAAAAATTGCCGCATTATCATACCTTGCTGTGACGTACATCATGCCTTGCAGCGCCTTCCAGGCAACCCCAGTATCACCAATCTGTGAGTGCTTCATATTGCTAAGTCGTTCTAGCTTTGGGAGATTGGCCCTCCAGCAATGGAGTGTCTCTGAGTATATGCATATTTGTATACACATCTCTATATATATACACACATAAATAGTTATATGTTTATGTCTAGTATGGAGATGCTTCAGCGTGTGTCTTTGGGGAAACCTGCTTTTCACTCAGCTGTGCTTCTTTCTGCAGTTTGGCTTGCATCGAAGTGTGTAGTTTTCATATCTCTTACCCAGCAATGGAGCATGTGTGGGAGCCCGGGCCTGCGAAGTTCACCGCCATGTTCCTATCATCCCCCTATCCCTCAGGTTCAACCACGACAAGTCGGTCGCTGACTTCTTGAAGTTCTCGCCTCAGAAGCTTCTCTGCCAGCCTTTCATGTCTGCAACGGCTAGCTCTCCGCAGGCACAAATTCAGCGGTGCGGTGAACGAGAAGTTTGTCGAAACGCTCACAACAAACCAGCCAGAACCTCGCTCTCTGCGTCCAGTGCTTCGAAGTTCAAGTTGTGTTCCTGTTGCCAGGCGCAAGAAATGGCTCCGTGCCAGCGACATACAAAAGAGTTGGAGCCTGAGCACCGTCCTCACGACCGCCATTCCCTCCAGAATGTCCTCGCATGTTTGCGTCTCAGGTCAGCTGATGGTGCAATGGGACTTCGCCGAGCGTCGCTGGTGGGACATCCGCGAGGCACGGTCTCCGTACGCCCAAGCCATGTCAATCGTGAAATCAATGCCTTCATTCTCTGCGGCGTGTGCAGGGCCGTTACCCGCCCACCGATGAGCCCGGCTTGGAAGCGACAACTCCCCCTCCGCCTCCACTGCCGCCGCACCCTCCATTGACGGACCCCAAGCTGCCGGCGAAGCCGGCTCGCAAGCCGCCGTCTCCCACCGAATCCATGGCGAAGCTCCTCCGCGTCGGCGCCCTACATTGATCCTTGCAACGAAACGCAGACCAAGCTAGCCAATAGACTGCATCCCTCTGTTGCCGAAGTCCTGTGCGACGGAAGCGAACAAGCGCGAGCTTCTGGTGAACCACGGGTGGACAGGCCAGGGACAGGAGCAGCTTCGGGTCGAGTCTTTGTGTTAAGATCTCAGATTTTCCACAGGCTACCAAGCCCAGAAGAAGGAGGAGTGGGTAGTGTGGTGGTACCTCAGCGACACCATCTGGGCGTGGGAAAGCGATCTCTTCGGAGCCGAAGAGGCAAGGCTAGGCGAGAGAGAGTGGCCAGTGGAGTCAGCTGAACATGTTTTCGTGCCAGGCCAGCGCACAGTGAGCGGGCAGCTTGCTGCAGTGCGTGCGCAGCGCCCAGGTACAAGGGAATGCCAGCAAAGAAAGAAGGAAAGCAAGTGCTTGTAGGGAGAATGCAGCAGAGAAGGGGCATTATGTTGCATGACAGGGCACTCGACGACACGTCCATGCCGGAAATATGCTGTTGCCGTACCACCTCGGCTCGAAGCTATCCTGGTCGCTAGCCTCGCCTATAGCCTTCACACGCCCGGTCCTCATCTGCGCCCGCTGCCACTGAGGTCCTAGCGGGTTGGGTCAGTGTGGCCATTCATCGTAACCTTGCACGAGTGGCTCCTGACTAGGAGTTCACGATCCGAGACACGTTGATGCGCCGGCGCCGCTTGCGGCGCGATGCGAGGCCAAGGAGCCTAGACAACCGTGAGAGCACAAGCATCGAGCCTACGGAGAACAAGCACGCGTGCAAAGCGCTCCTTTTTCAAGTGGCTTCAAGTCCCGGCAAAGCTAGTTTTCAACCCTTCGGCTGCATTGGCGAAGCCCCTACGTCGACGGTTGTTTCTTAGCTGTGCGGGACGAAGCGCGGCAAGTTTGTGTGTTCTCTACCTGTGCACGGCACTCGGTGCGAGGTTCTTATCCTCAACTTCCATCAGGATGCAGGCCGGGCACGGATAAGTTGCTAATTCTTAGCCCGTATGGGGCTTTCAGTACCAGCAGCTTCTCGAACGGAGGCTGGGCCGGGCTTGTTTCATATTCTCCAGCCAATATTGAGCATTCGGTGTCAAGTGCCGACAAGACATGGGTGCAGGGAACACGGAACCAAAGCCAGCTTCGAAATTAAAGTCTTCGGCGGGCAAGGCTGCAGGAGAGGCTGCGTTCCGTTCCCGTATGGTGAGATGCTAGCTGCAGCAGAGGCTTGCTGGACGCCTCTGCTTCCTCGCAACTTGGACGTGTGCTAGGCGGCCCGTTAGAATATCCGCCCCCATACTTTCTTGTCATCGCAGCTACGCGACGTCAGGTGCCGATCCTGGACACGCAGGACACGGCGTCTTACCTGAAAAGACCCTAAAGCGAACGGGTCGCGCATTTCGATCTGGTTTCCTCGTCCTCTAGCCATACTAATGCGCCAGGTGCCTTCTTCCGAGCTCGTCCTCAAGCTGAATAAGGCGGGGGCCGGCCGAAAGATGGTTAGCAGGCAGGATCGTCTGCAGCTTAACCTCCGGCCAGGAATCAACCGGTGTAGCTCTTGGGCACAAATCAAGCTTTTGTTCGACAATCACGCCCCACCCGCGCCCGGCGCCATGGATACATCGATGCTTTTCGGTGCTTTGATCTGCACTTGCTCGGTTGCGGCACAGAAATGGTCACGCTTATCCGTGCACCTGAAGCGGCTCGTCGCAGGATTTTCGAAGCGCTCAGACTGGGCCCTCACGCTGGGTCGCCTGGCGTTGATCGGGGCCCTTTCGAAATACCCAATGCTAGCGCCCAGAATCACGGGCGACCTGGACTTCGGCAGGCGACTCCAACGCTTATCGAACCAGGACTTGCAAGGTCTTCCGCTCGGCACCAAGAAGAACATACGCCTCTGCATTAAGAACCTCGAGATTTTCGAGAAGAAGAGAAGACAGGAGGAAAAGGCAGAGCTCCGAAAGCACAAGCAAAAGGAGCGCCGGAGAGAAGAGCAAGAGGCAGCAAGGCGTGTGGCCAAGCGCGCAGCTATGGCCCTGGAAATGGTCGCAGAAAGCATTCAGCGCAGGACTCTTGGTTGATGCACGTTGTCTCACCCAGCGCAGTACGGCGAGACGGAAGGAAAGCCGCGCTTTTGTGGGTTGTAAGCTACCGTAAATTTGTTCTCTGACGGGCACTGCACAACCAGTGGCAACCACCACAGGCCGACAGAGATCGCACAAACTGGAGCGGCATCAGGAGGTACGAAAGATGTTGTACAATGCTGATTCTTGTTGTGTGTGCGCGTGTGTCTATATGTGTGTGTGCACGACGGCAGGTACCTACTCCGAAGCTGAGCAACGAAAGAAGAAGGCCGGCACGTAAGTGCTTCTGACAGCTTGTGTGAGCACCGCCCGGCAGCTACTCGGAAACTGAGGCAGTAGAAGAAGAAGGCCGGCACATATGCACATAGCCAGCATGTTTTAGCTCCTTCTTAACTTGCATGGTGCGCCGCCACGTTTGCGCCGCCATGTTTGAGCAGCAGTATACTCGTGCGTCGTCCCGTTTGCTTCTGCTTCGCCGCCATGTTTGAGCTTGGTGTTAACTTGTATGGTGCACCGCCAGGTGAGCTTATTCTCAATCAGTACGGTGCGCCGCCATGTTTGAGCTTATTCTTAAACAATATGGTGCACCGCCAGGTGAGCTTATTATTAACCGGTACGGTGCTCCGCCATGTTTGGGCTATTTCTTAAGCTGCATCGCGCGCCGCCATGTTTGCTTCCGTGCGGAGCGCCGCCACGTTTGAGTTCGTTCTTAGCCAGTATGGTGCGCCGCCACGCTTGCTTCTGTACGATGCGCCGACATGCCGCAACACTTGCTTTTGTAGGGCGCCACGCCATTCTTGAAAGTATTCTTATAACCAGTAGGATGTGCCACCACGATTGCTTCTGTATGCTGCGCCGCCATGTTTGAGTATGTTCTGAACCAGTATGGTGCGCCGCCACGTTTGCTTCTGTACGGTGCCCTGCCATGTTTGAGACTCTTCTTAACCAGTGTGGTGTGCCGCCACGTTTGCTTTTGTACAGTGTGCCACCATGTTTGAGCTTATTCTTAACCGGTATGTTGTGCCGCAGCTTTTGGTTATTCTTAAACCGCATGGTGCACCATCTCCCGCCTGCTCGACAGGTGCGCTTCTCTTGGGGCTGAATAACGCCGGAAACCTGCCTGGCTTGTGTGCGTAGCATCTGACCCCGAATACAGATCAGCCAGCAAAATGGCGAGAAAAGGCTCTCCAGTTGGTCCTTCTGCATTTCTGGATGCAGATGTAGAAGAGCAAATGCATAACGGAAGCGATAGAACAACCGTGGTGAATAGCAGTGATAATGATACATATATATATATATATCGATATATATTTATATAATTTTTATCCGAACAGCATTTTGTGCTCAAGACAGCAAAGACTGCAGTAACAGCTGCTCTTTTCGGCCCCGCTGCCAAGGAGCTGCTGCTTTGATCTAGTTGAAGTACTTTGCACATTGCTTCTATGTTGGTTCTGCTAAGGAGACGTAACATGGAGCGATTGGTCATCAGCGACTTCGGCATCATCCCAACTTCAGTGCCACTCTCCTGGCTAAAGGATCTTCATCTTTTGCGCCGTGATTGTCCGAGCTTGCCGATCTCGTCTTCTGCACAGGACCTCGAAGCGGAGGAAGAGGCAGGTGTGAGAGAGCTGCGCGCATTGACTCCCCCTGTGTCGAAGGGTCGTCGGCATGGATCAGGACGCAGAGGTACGTTGTCCGGCGCGATGGCACCTGGCCGTGTGCTCAATGTTATGCAACAACACAGCAAGCTAGTCGAACTACGGGATATGCAGGACAAGAACTTGTTCATTCTCGCGGCCTGCGGAGCTATCCTCGACGCGAACGAGCTGCCGTTTGAAAGTGTTGATGGTTTCAATGCACTGTCGTGGAAGGACGGACGAGTTCTTAAAATTGATGGATGCACATGCGTTTGTTCCTCTATCAGAGCGGCAGGTGCCGCCAGTACCACATGGCAGCTTCGACCTCGTGATCTGGGGCAGCCCGCATGGAAACGTATTTGCCTCGTTGCGGGGTTTCGGTGAGCCTTGCACTAGCTCCATTTCCTTGTTTGCAATGGTGCAAGGTCTGCAACGGCACCCGTGCTACGGTCGCTGCATGCAGCAACGAAGAATACAAGAGTCAAGCGTTTTGCTCGATAGCATGGAAGCAAGGGCCTCGTCAGGCTCTGTGTGTATTTTGTGTGTGTGTGTGTGTGTGCGGATGTCCGACTGAATCATTCCTCCCTGGGTAGTGCTTTTTAAGGAGCAGCGGCACTGCAGTGATGCTATATCCTGCCTACTATGAAACTTTGGAGTTCCATGCGGCACCACCAGGCTGGACAGCCGGCGCTTCATGTTGTTTGCTCCAACTTCAGATGGACCGCGTCATCATACGCCAGGCAAGACGTTGTTGGTGATGCCGTGCAGCAACACAGGCACCTGACTCCGAACCGTGTTTTCAAATTCCTTGCGGGCTGTCGTCATGGCTGTCATGAGGTGGGTACGAGCCTCTGGCAAGCTCTCTGCAAGACCAAGAACCCTTGGGCGGCAGAGTCGTGGCAGCTATCAGCCTCGCACCACACCACTGGCCATGCATCGTCCGTTCAGAGGCACGGATGCCCTTCCGTGTTGGCCGTTAGCCTTTAGATATGGGTTGCAGGATGGCACATCTTTGGACTTGTTGGCCACGCTGGCGGCAATTCTTACTCGGATCAAATCCGAGGCAGAAAGAACAGCAGATAGATGACACGTTTCCGCTTGCGGATGACTCTTTCCACTTAAACTACAAGGTTGTTTTATTTGAGGGTAATCCTTAACCCTCAAAATGGCGACAACCGGGAACCGATTGATTGCATGATTTCAAACTTTTAATTTCTGTGTGAAAGCATGCTTTTATCACACGAATGATTTTCCCAACCTTCAACGCTTGCATAAAGTGTTCTCTATGCATGTTGAAGTTATGAATGTTTCTATGCACCGACGGTTTTGCAGATCAAGTGGCATTTCGGGCCACTGGGGAAAAATTTTGTGTGGGGCTCTCTAGAGGCCTGTACTTCTGTCTAACAGGTCCGAGTCCCCTGTACCTCGGTGTTGCTCTTAGAGCACCGTGCAAGACTGCCCTGTGTGGCAGTCGGATGGAAGAGGCCTCCCCGGCAGGCCTCGCTGTGTCTGAGGCGTCTGAGCATCCTAGCAGCCTTTCCAGTTTTGAGGCTGTGTCCAGCCATCTTGCTCGCTTGCAGAGTTCGCACGACCTCCTTGAGTCTCGTGTCCGCGTGGCCGAGGATCGCTTGGATTGGTTGGACAGGCAGGCAGCAAGCTCAGCCTCTCGCATCACCTGGCTTGAAACTTTCATTGCGCATTTGCG